GTATGTGCCAGTTTACTCGCATGTTTACTCGCATGTTTACTAGCATCGCATGTCTGACAGCTGCACGGATTCTCCACGGCAAGCTTTAGGGGCGGTTGACAAGACTCAACTGCTGTGCGGGCTTTGCAATGCTTTGCATCATTACCCCTTGCCTCCCCGGCATGCACCCTGCAAAAGCTGCAACCACACTGAATAAACCATAAACCCCTGCAGGTCCTTGCACTTGAACACCTCCAACGGGTTTTCAAAGGAGGTGTAATACCTTTGCGCTTGATCAATGACAATTTCGTGCACAAGGAACGTCCACAGCATTTGTATGCATTTGTATGCATTACTGCACGCCATCAGAGTCATGAGCACAATCATGGACAATCATGTGGAAAATATCGAAGCAGGGGTGGCGTCCCACCCCGCGATGGGGATCTTCTGCCCCCTTTCTTTCCCCACGTGCCTCCTGCTACTAGCAACTAGTCTGAATATCCTGTGAAATCATTGGCAAATACAGACAGAAACGCTCGACAACTTTGATCATTGATCACACATCCCTACCCTTGGTCCCAGGTGCACCAACCCACCAACCACACCCACACCTTGCCTGGCCCCGACCTACCCCCTCGTATGCACAAACCCACACACCCACACACACCCACACACCCATACGCCCACACGCCCACACGTCCGCACGCCCACAGGCCCACAGGCCCACAGGCCCAGAGGCCCACACGCCCACACGCCCCTCGCCCTGCACCCCCGCACCCCCGCACCCCGCATCCCTGCACCCCCGCAGCCCGGCGTCCCTCACCATGTGCAAAGGCCCTCTTCGTTGGGCTGGCAACCAATACACATGTCCATCCCCTGCTATCCACAAAGATTCAGTAAGTTCATGAGTCTTCAGGGTTCTTCAACAACAACAAACAACAACAAACAACAACAAACAACAGCTAACAACAGCAAACAACCGCAAACAACAGCAAGCAACCAACAGCAAGCAACCAACAAACAGCAACAAACAACAAACGGCAAACAGCAAACAGCAACCAACAACCAACAACCAACAACCGACAGCCGACAGCCAACAGCCAACAGCCAACAGCAAACAACCAACAACCAACAACCAACAACAAACAACAAACAACAGACAACAGACAACATACAACAATCAACAATCAACAAACAACCAACAACCAACAACCAACAACCAACAACAAACAGCAAACAGCAAACAGCAAACAGCAAACAGCAAAAAGCAAACATCAACCAACAAAACACAAAAAACACACACAACACACAACAAACAACACACACCACACAACAAACAACACACACCACACAACAAACAACAGCCAACAGCCAACAAACAACAGCCAACAACCAACTGCCAACAACCACAACCGCATCCACAATCACAAGGGCAACCGCAACCACAACCACAAGCGCAGCCCACAGCCACAGCCACAGCCCAACCACAACCACCACAACCACAAGTAATGGTTGTGGTTGGGTTGTGGTTGTGGTTGTGGCTGTGGCTGTGGCTGTGGCTGTGGCTGTGGCTGTGGTTGACAACCACCACCACCACCACCACCAGCACCACCACCACCACAAAAGGTTGGCCACCAGTACAAAACGACCCAACAACCAAGTCCGACTATCGCATGACAACAGCCGCAGTCATCTGGGATGAACTCCTGGTGGATACGGAAAAGTGCCTTTGAGTCCTGTGGAAGCTGCATCCGAACGACTTTGTGAGCCTCGCTAAGCAGCAGGTTTTTCGAGTTGCTCCGCATTCATGTGTGTGGAGCTGGTGATGTGGCTGCACGTCCTGTGTCGTCATGCTTAGAAGCCCGAAAGCCCGCTGCACGCCAAAAGGAACAAGCCGACCTCGACAGGCCGAACAGGCCGGGGTGCCCTGGAATTGGCCGCGGGTAGTTCAGACTGGCATTCTCCTGGTTTGTGCTGCAGGGCAAGTCCTTGGCACGGTGATTGTTCCGGGCTTTGCCCTGGGCGAAGCCTAGCTGCACACTTCAACCGCTTTACTTCGAGCACGAGATTCTTGGCCGAAAAAACCTTATGGCAACGAAAGGAAAGGTCAACCTTGCCGCAATAGCATGTTGTTCCAAGAATGTCTGACGCAAAATTAATGCGGGATTGTGTGTTGCTTTTCACTGCCTGCTATCCCTGCACTTTGCAGCGTTCGAAACTGTTTGGCAGCACCAAACTGTGCGCGTGCAGCGATTGCAGAGGTTTTACGCCACAAGACGGTGCACTCCGGTATGTTGCGAAACTCGAATTACGGCAAACTACAGAACTTGCAGATTCGTTGAAGGAACAGAAAATGCAGCTGCACTTGCGGCTGTTCGAAAATCACAGAAGCTCACGACCTCTTGACTTCCAGCGCTGCCGCCGCTTGGAAGCCAAAAAACGTCGAGTTGCAGCACCAGCGGTTATCCGGAAACTCGATACATTGTCAGTTGCATTCAGTTCTGCAAAATCTTTTGGCGTACAAGGTTTGCCAAAGGTTCGCCCACTCTCGCTCCTGCTAGGGACTAGGGCTTGCCACTTCACATTTCCTTTCTGTGATTCATGCATGACCCGCAGTGCAGGTCTGTCCCGGGAAGGCTTTTTGAGCCCAGAAGAACAACCTTAACATCTTCATGATTAAAGGCCGGACATTCCATCGGAGTCTGTGACGAACCTGAACATGGTAGAAGGCGTCTAGTAGATTTTGGGGTTGCCGGAACAGCTCTCGAAATTGAAGGCTTGGAGCTGGAATGGTTGGGGTGCCCATCGCCTTTGAAATTCTTCAGAGTACTCTCGAGGTGTCATCCCAAAACTCCCGCAATCGACCGCTTCGTCAAGTAGTGCTCAGCTCAAACATCAAGACAAGGGTTTTTGGCGCCTAAACCTCAGAGCCAATCCTTTCCTGAAGCTACGGATCTATTTGCCCAGAAGCTACAACCTTGGAGACCTGACGCGGTAGCCCCTGAAGCTGCAGAATAAGCAGCATGCAATAGATGCATGGTTGATGCAATTCAATGGGACTCTGGGATCATCGAGCTCGCACGAAAACAGATCCCGAAGCATCGGCATAAAATGTCCAGGGGTCGGCCTCGTCAGAGCCCACCTGTGCATAGCAACATGAAGATGGAGGTGCCCATGTCGTCTGCACATCAACCGCAACTGCAACTGAGATGTCTTTGCCTGGCACTGCAGGAAGTCAGACGATGGGCACGGTACGCAGAAGGCATTCGTTGGGGGGTGGTAGACCTGGGGCTGTGTGAAAGCCGAAGGAAAACCGATGGACTCGCAGTTCCTAAGATTCTTGAAGGGAAGAGCTATGGTCTACAGATCTGGGTGCAACTCGACGACGCGACGGGCTAATTAACGCTACGGATTCCGGGCGATGCTGCCAGTCAGCCTCCAGATTGCAGTTGCAGTTCTCACCTCAGGAGCGCAAAGCCGGACATCTTGTTTTGACCTGATACCCTGACTCGTTGATTCGTAGTCACGCCCAACACGCTTAACAAATTTCCACCACTCCCAGCACCTTCCATCCGAGAATCTGCAATTCCATTCTCTTATCCCTTGTTGGCCATGGCGGACCTAAAACAACCCTTGTATCCATCTGTTCGTGGCGTCGTCATCAATCCATTACATTCACTACAGTCAATGATATTCGCTGCGCTGACAGCCCGATAACAACAGCATCAAGTGGCGCAAGCCGCCCGGGGCTGAACGCTGCTGGCATGGACGAACGTAGTTCGCCTTGGCAATCCAGCAATGCAGATAGCCGCCCAAAGTTCATTATGGTGGACTGTATGACATGTTGATCCTGCTTCTCTGCAAGCATCCTTTCGCACAGGACACAGACCCTGCGTTATATGCAGGAACGACGTGTTGTGACTTGTAATTGACTGTAATTGCATATCGCCAAGGAAGCCGTTGGCAAAGGGCCATTTCCCCCATGTCACCATGCTCCCTTGTCCCGTTGTCTCAACACAGCCATCAACGAAGCTGCTGCGACCGTCACTGCGTGCACTGTCGAGGATCTTGTTCAAACCCGCAAAGGACACGGCTTTTTTTGATCTGGTCGCATCGGCGACCGCACTCTCTAAAACAAGGACTTGTTGGGAAGGCTCAGGTACAGTTATGCATGCACTGCCTTCGCGTGGCCTTGTCGCCATGCCTGGAAACCGACTAGCAAGACAAAACAGCTGTCGGAACTCTAAAGTCGAGGTGAGTGAGAGACGTTAAAGAACGCACAGGAGCGTGCATTGGTGCCCTTCGTTCTTCACGACATGAGCAACGAATTGGTCTCGGCGGACCCCCCCCTCCCGGCCCTATGGGACCCCCGCCAGTCACTTGGAGGAGCTGCAAACCGGTTCCGATGGTTCCTACAAAGGGAGCGCCAAAACCCACCCCCTCCCCCCCCCCCCCCCCCCCCACCCCAGCTCCCCCCACCCCCTCCCTGGACCCCTGAAACACCCGGACCTGGACCCTTCCTCCCCTTTTTTTGCAGAAACCCTTTTTCCTCCTTTCCTGTCTTGGGGCCGGTCCGGCTGCCGAGGCGGCGCGCGCAAACGTTTGCAATTAACTAGGAACTAGAAGCTAACAACTAGTAACGCCTGACAAGAAATTCGCAACTAACGACGAGTAGTTATTAACTCCTGGAAGAATGCGTCGGCGTAGAGCATTGCACGCCTGGTCGCCGACGGGGCGAAGGGGATAGCGAGGCTGAACACGCCGAAGAATCCCTCTCAGCACCCTGAGGGCTGCCCGGAGTCCTACCGACAACGCGTCGCCTAAAGACGCAGCGGCGTCGGCGGAGCGGGAGTAGATGGACTTAAGCGCCGCCTTCCCCAAAGCGCCGAAGATGGACTGGGTAAGGAACGCCAGCTTCCCTGCCAGGCGGTGGGCGACGTGGGGCGCCAGGAGGTTTGTCGATAGCTGCGAGGAGCTTCTTGCGACGACGTTCCGTGGGGGATAAACGGACCCCGTCCGACGTGTCCTCGCAGCGGACCCCCTGGACCGTGTGCGCAGAGTTCGGCGGCTGCGCCTTCGAAGGCTTGGTTCTCAGGCCCAAGAGAGAAGAGGTCCGAGAACGCCGCGCGCGCCTCTTCGGCCGCGTCGGGGAAGTCGAGGGCGTTAAAGTCGTCGACGTAATGCCCGACCGCCAGCAGGAGGAAGTGACGCAGCAGCACCTGCAGTGCGTCGCCGGCTCGAATGCGCCGGGCGCTTGACTGCCCACCGCCTGTACGCCGAGAGGAGGTCGTGGCCGAGGACCAGCGGCGTGACGCCGAGGTGCGCGAATCTGCGCGCCAGGTCGACAAAGTCGCCGATGAAGTGGTGCGTCGGCACGTCGGCGGCCTGGGGCCTTCGCCGGCGGCGCCGAGATCTTGTCGTGGGGGACGTCGTCGACCGGGCCCTGGTGGATGACGGCGGGCCTCAAGAACTGCCCAGCGTCCAGGCCTACAACCACCAGCGTCGGCGTCGGTTCGGGCCCCAGGAACAGGCCCCGAACTGGAAGCCTGTCGGGCGCCAGGGACTCCGACACCCGAGTTCTCCGGCTCAGGTCCGAGCACGGACGCGGCGTCGCTTGGATGATGCGCCAGGCGGCGTCCGTCCCAGATCCGCCGTCGCTGCCGCAGCCGCCGAAGCCACGCCGACCGCCGCAGCCGCCGCATCAGCTGTGCCCGGCGTAGGCACATCAGCAAATCCCTCCGCCGACCCAGATCCAGCCGCCGCCTCTGCCCCATTTCTCTGTCGCTGGAGAGCGACGTCAACAAGTGGTCGGGGGGGGGCGAGAATCGAGCCTGCCAAAGCAGGGAGGCATGCGCCGCGACGAAGCGCTCGCGGGCCGGCATTGGCAAAGCTTCGACGAGCTCCATCGCCGACGCAGCGTCGCGCAGCCCCCCGCAAGCAGCTCGGCGAGGACGGCGGCGTCGGTCTGGGTGTTGGAAGACGACGAGGCCATGGCATCGAGGTCTAAGGCAGAAAAAGCTGAAAAGAGGCGCCTTGCGACGAACGGCTTCGGCGTTCGTCGCTATGCTTGTCCTAACGCACATGAATAGTGCTACACTTCATATTCCATATTCAATACGAAATAGTCAATGTCTAATAGAGTCTAATCGCTTGCAACTGCAAAGCAACTAGCACTCAGTAACAAGCTAGGAGTCCTAAATGATGAGTGCCTGGCGATGAGTAAGTGCTAAAGTATAGTCTACTAGCAAGTATAGTATCCCTTTTGGCAGGTCTGTACATTTGGGTCAAATGCATGGTGCCCGCAGCAATCTGTCACTTAAAGAAATTTTGACTTGCTCACATAAGGGCTCATTAGCGTCATTTAGCTGGAAGTACCCGGCAATCAACAGACAAGGGGACTGGAAAAGGACCAGGGCACCGGGCACCAACCCTGCCAATGGACTACCGAAAGCCTGTGCCATGCCGGCAAGAATGAACCAAACAAGTGAAGTAGCCTTTCGTGGCAGCATCTCGAGGCTATCCAGTGGCAATGCGCGTACGAGTGCTGGCAGAGCAGAGAAGGATCCAAGGCGAAACCGAATGCTCTGCAGGTCCGACAAGCCCCCAAAACCCGGCCTGAGAAAGAAACCGCACGAGCCCCGTAGCGAGATACGGCAAAGAGCGCGTGTGAAATTCATCTATGCATTCCTCTTCTCACGTTCGCAACCACTAAGAACCGGCTCATGGCACTCAAGGTCTTGGACAGTGTGGGGAATCCATCTTGTCTTCGCATCCCAGGCGCAGGGCAGAGGCACTCGGTCTGCACCGAACTGCCTTCCTGTCCAGGCACGCAGGGATTCGGGCCATGCGTGTGCGAGGGTCACATCGGTCCCAGCAGTCCCAGTAGAGGGATTTAGGGTTTAGGGTTTAGGGTAACTTGGCCTCGCGCGTCACCATCGGTGAGGGGCAACGGCTGCAGGAGCTGGACTCTCGCTCAGACTGGTAGGCACCAATGGGACACCTGGAGAATGAAAACCGTCTCAGGTGCCCCAAGCCAGTTTACTTGCTTCAATTTCAACTTAAGGCAACTTGCAACTTGCAATTTGCCACGGGAGGCACAGCAGCCAAAGCAGAAGCAATGTCCCTAACTTTAGCAGTCGTTGGCAGGCTGCGTACTGCACCTGGGAAGCTCATGTGTAGCAGATGTGTTGAGATCAGCAGAGTACGAGAATTGAGGTCTTTGAAAAGGCAGAGTGATAGCGCGTTCCGAGCCACAAGTCGCACTCAGTTTGTCCAGGCTGCGCACTGAAGGTGCCAGCTGAACCTGGGCATTTACCGGGTATTTCTAGGCTTTATGGCCGTTCGGCCTTTAGGGGTAAGGTCGATTGGTTTCGGCCTCTGTCTCCGGCTGCATGGGCTCATTACATGCAGCGCTAAGGGTATTTGAGATGTGGCTATCCAAGGCAAGTGGGTAACAAGATCTGCTTGAACTTTCATCGAAGGATCTCTTGTCCTACGGACGCGCTGGGACATGCTTTCATACTTGACATGCGTTCGCAGGCCGGTGCGGCGCCGCCGCCGCCGCCGCCGCCGCTGCCGCTGCCGCTGCTGCTGCCGCTGCCGCTGCCGCTGCCGCTGCCGCCGCCGCCGCCGCCGCCGCCGCCGCTGCTGCTGCTGCTGCTGCTGCTTGGCAGCAGGGCTTTGGTTCGGGGTTGAGCTGGGTACAGTAGTAGTATTGCAGCACCGGATGCTGCCTTTCTGGCTCTGTGCAGCAATCTCGTCATTCAATGTTTACTTGGCACTCTCCCCTGGCCTCCTGTTGCTGTCGCTCTTCGTCCAGGGCACACACAAACGGCGGGCTCAATTTCACATGGCCATCATGCACAACATGGGTTAGGTGCTGCAAGCAAGCTCCAAAACCAAAACCTTCCAAACGAGGCATCCCAAAGACTCTTTAAGCACAACATGCATGATCCGTAGTGAGCTCGACCCTGCGCTTCCGCAAGCTTGGGATGCTGGCCTTCTGCCCTTAAGAAAACATATGCTCGCGCCGAGCCCGGGATCCTGGCAAGATTCACACTCGGTTGAGCCGCCAATGCCGATCTTCTTGCCCCGTGGGCACTGCTCACACCTGCCAAATCTAAATTCTAACTCAGCTTCTCGACGGGCCCAACCAATGAACAGCGGGAGGCCTAGATCTGAAGGTGGGCTAACATGATGATCGATGCTCCAAAGTGACAGAGCGCACTGGAAATCGCTTGTTGAGTGAACGTTCGAACTTCTCATCTATTCATGGCAACAAGTACTGGGTAACACAAGAATATTGGCCAGACAACGGCTCTTAATGGTTTCATTCTGGAGGCTCCGTTCGAAAAGTACGGGGTTGACTCGATTAGGAGGTGAAATCGAACTGTTTCCTGAACCTGCATGTCATGGCACAGATGAGCAAGTACACAAGGGAGTACAGCCACAAACAAGGGATGCTACCGAATGCTTGCGAGTTGTTGATTTGAGGCTGTATTTGTGAATTTGGGCTGTGTGCAAAGTTGGAGCTCAAAAGCATGTCTTGGGAGCACATGATTCCAAACGAAATCAGTGCATTGTTTGCAGAGTGCAACAACGCTTGCACTTTTACAGGATTTGCACAAAATGAAGACGTTGATTGAACAAGAACAATTGGGGGGTCAAAGCTTTTATATGTATACAGAGAGTTTGTGGTTAGCATTTGCTTGGCCGGAGCTGGGCTTCAAGCTTCGTCCTGCGCTGGTGGCTGGGCTTCTTGAACCGCTGCGCGGTGTGGAGTCTGATCCTCGTGTCCTTCTCGCCTGCCACTGCTGCCTTTTGCTGCGGTGGTCTACGCAAGTGCTGCTGGACAGCCTGTGATGCTGAATGGTCTGCTTCTGCAAAACAGTTGTGTCTTCTCTCTTGTTTTGTGGTGGCTCACAAGAGGTGATGTAACCCAGAAACGAATGAGACGATGTTGTGAATGCCTTCCCCCTTTTCCCAACCTTGCTCACCACACCCCGCCGCCTGAGACAAAATCTGACATGGGGGAGCCAGCCAGCCTATGGCTCCCACATCTCCTTGGGAGGCCACCCGCGCAGTCCGCTTCCATGAGGCTTGAGGCCCATTGGTGGGGAAAACTCCTTCCTCCTTCGTGACTCTGGGTAGCTCCCACTTGGCACCAAACGCCGCGGCACGGGCAATTTGAAATCTTCATACTTCCAAAAAAACACAGGAAACTTCAAAGACAATCTCGTTGTCATTGGTTCTTACAGAAGGTTTTGAACAGCTGACACTGCAAGCCGAGAATGTCCATGGGCCCGCCGGCTGCCAAGGTGGCCCAAGCGTCTACAATCATGATGAGAACTAATGAGGGGAGATAGCGGTGGACGGTGGACACACAACTACATGGGTGAGAAAGCGCTTCGTGTGATAACCACGCGTGAACAGGAACTCGGAATCCAGGCTGCAGAAGTTCAACACATTCACAACCTTTCGCTCACGAAATCGTGTTTCGGCCTGTAGGTCTGCAGATTGCTCCATCCATCTCCGCTGAAGAGCCGAACACCGCTTGAGAAGCGGCCTCCGCGTTCGAGAAGAGATTCAACGTGCCAAGGTCTTGCAAGTAGGATTTTACATGTGGCCTCCATGGGCATAGGCTCATGGACTATCTCAAGATGCACGTAAAAGTTCAAGCGCTTGCAGAAGTCGATGGGCCATGAAATCCACAACTCAAGAGAGTTTATTCTACCAACGCAGCTGTCGCATTGAAGCTGAAGCACATTGCCAAGAAAGGCTTCTAGCAGCTGCTGTTCCAGTCACGCGCTGTGCTGATGTGTGATTGGATGTGACGCGGGGGCTGTGGCTGGGACTCAAGCCTTCGGACGAGGCATTCATCATGCGTGAACTTTCTTGCGCCACCATTCACAATTGCAAAAGCCTGGCGGGCACCATTGGCAGAAGGCGGCGTCCTGATTCAAGGTGATTCAGGATGTGCGCTGATGATGTCCGAATGATCCAACCTCAGCATCAACACCTAGAATCACCTAGACCTAGTCAAAGTCCAATGTCGAGCTGCCATGCTTAGTGCCCCGGTCTGCGAGCAGCCCGGTGACCAGAAGGCATGAACTCAGCAGAAGTCAGAATCTGGCAGAAGCAGTTCCCGACAATTCACCCCTAGTTGCCCCCCCACAAATCATTCGCACCCCCCCCCTTCATCCACCCATACTTAGTGCAGATACTCGCCCACATTAACCCCCTGGCTCTCCTCCAAAGTCTCAGGGTCAAAGCCGCCTGAGGCGGTCCGGACGCCTTCCAGGCAAAGAGTTCGGAGTCAAGAGTGGTATACTGAGTATACTGTGGGTGCAACTGCGTTGCGTTTTTTGTACGTCCTTTTGCAAACC